AATTTACAGACAGAAATGTCAAAAATGTTACAACTATCCCCGGTCTCCCCTAGATAAATTCAGAACACTAGATAACACTAGTATGATTAGTTGGCATACACTCACTCATACACTCACTCCAGAGGACGACTGAGAGTGATGCACAACCACGGTGATCACTCTATCTGCAGATGTGCACTGACTTTTGAAAGCAAAACAAACAAACAAAAAAAGTGAGGAAGTGAGAGTGATTTTACCTGTTTTAGACATTTGTACGGTTTTTCAAGGAGTAAACTATCTGATTCGTGAAGCTGAACTTGAAAAATTGTGCATAAATAATAACCATTTGTTCTTGTTTGAATGTATCCTTTTTATTTTATTTTATTTTTTAACGTGTGGTCGAATAGCTTGAAGTTCGTGTGTGTTGTCCTCAAAAGTTACACACAAATCACTGTACACATTTGTAAATCTTAGTTTACGCTTGTGGATTGTACGCACCAGTCTCATAACACTTTCGAGGCACGTTTCTCTCTATAGGTCTGTGTGCACTCAGTTACGTGTTGGCAGTAGTTTGCGAGCACCTGAACAGAAACTGTGGATCAGGATTTAATGAAATGCAACAACTTATAACACAAAGAGAAGCCTCATGAAAGGAGAACTGAAGCACGAGTTACTATGTTTTGTGTCGTGGTCGTGAGCAAGGGTTAATATAGTTCGCTAGAACTGGAAGTAACTAAAAGTAGCTAACAAAAACTATATTTTGTGTAGATATATATATGTGTGTGTGTATGTGTGTGTGTGTAGAGAGAGTGTAACATCTTACACTTTGCTAATATGGCCAAATTTTTTAACACATGAAACAATTAAGCATGATAGTATAAATCAATTATTTATTGAGACCCAGACCCAACAGGCATGCAGTTGTTGGTTTCTCACCTTGACAAGCTCAAGCCATTGTTAATAGGACACAGACATTACATCAAATCCAGAGATGCCACAGGTTTCAGTGGAAGTGTAGTAAAAGAGAATTAGGCCTTTTACTATCTACAAGATGTCAGCAGAAAAGTTGTAAACATGTTCCTTTATGACATAGAGCTGTTTAAAATGAAAGGAGAGAGATCACCTTACCCTGGGGCAGTGGTTCGCAAACTTCTTTTGCCAGGCCCCCCTTTGTTTTACAAGAAAGATGTTAGCGCGCACCCCCCCCCCTGCACAAACACATCCTCCAACCACGCACACCCATATTTTTGTTTTCAAACTCCATTGCAGTTTATTTCACACCTCAAACATTTAGTAAACAATTAAGCAAATACAAGTAAACAGCAATAAATTACAGGTAGTAATAAAATAAACTACTAACTCTTTTACGCTATAAGTCCACACCTACACGGGTATTTTTGAAAACACAGCTGTTTCTATGCGTTTGGGCCTTTCGTCCACACGTAAACGACGTTTCAAATCACCGAAAACGGAGATGTCTTAAAACTCAGTTTTTGCGTTTATGTGTGGACGAGGACTACAGAGTTCATCACGCAACGTCAAAGGTATGTGCCTTTTTTCACGTCACGCTGTGCGCCACGTTATTGTTTACATGAGATGAATTGCAGAATGGCAGATAGAGACAAAATACTGTTACTGTTAATCTTAGTGTCTCAGTTTTTACACGCTTACACACACGCAGTTACTGTCCCTCCATTTACAAAGGCAGAGGCGTCACGGTGTGATTATTTTACGTGTAGTTGTTTTTTTCCTGTGTAATAATATTCAACATTGCTATCAATACAATCAAAAAATGCCTCTCTGTGCAAAATGGGTTCAAAAACATAAACAGTGGTGGGATACTGTTTGTCCGTGATTTGGACAGGGGAACACATCCTAGCAGGATGTTATTTGTATCCCACAGTAACTTTACTGTATAAAGAGCTAACATCTCCAAAATGTCAGGAGTATTTAGTCATTATAAGAAGTGTTTGTGAACTAAAAATCAAGACTGTTTGTCTGTGATTTGGAGAGCCCAGCGCGTGCTCACGGCACAGGGGAAAGTAACCTGTTGGGTCTGGGCTTAGCCAAAGGGAAGATATGCTTCACCATATTTTCTAGGCGTTGGCTTGGAAGGAAGTTGGTTTGGAAACATATCTGGCGATGCTGCATCTTCTGCTTTGCGTTTGTGTGGGCATCCCGTCAAAAAACCTGTCCATTATGCCAGCAGTGCCCAAGCATTCTTTTTTTTTCTTTTATCACCATGCTAAGCAAGCTTGATATAGAGCATAATTGTATTTTTGACCCATGGAACTTTAAAATCATCAATTTTGATCATTATTTCATTTTTTTTATGTTTAAACTTTGATTTTGTCGAATGTCTGATGTTGTTTCCAACCTTTGTGTGGCTTGACTGCACTGAGTAATGCTGAAGAGACTTTACATGATGAGCTATTGATAGCAATGATCCTGAAAGATTTGCCCCAGTAATTTCAGCCGTTTGCAATACACATAATTAAGAATGATAACTAAATAATAACTTTTAGAGAGTTTAAAATCAAGTTAAGAAGTTACAAAAGCAGAGAACAATTCAATTCCAGGTTCACTAACAACACTGTGATGAAGCCGAGTGTCTCAGTATGGAGGAGAGACAAAGAGGACTTTGAACTAACCTGCTATAACTGTGGCCAAAAAGAACATAGCGCACTCGTGAGAGCAGAGGACAGAAACAATGGTAACATTTTTGTAAGTGCTTCACTCATAACGATGCTAACTGCAGACAAAGGAAGAGGAACAATGCAAAACCAACAAAGAACAACACATCTGCATTCAAATTTGTGGACTGAAACAAAGAGGGCTTCTAGTTTATACTGGGACAGTGTAACACATAATAACAGACATTAGGAAGTTTAATGCGTTTGATGAGGCCTGTAAATGATTTTTTATTCAGTTTTTGCAGGAAGATCAAATGTAGCATTGAAGAAATGTGCCACAGGAGTGTACACTTGAATGAAGACATATTGTTGACATAATGTTGGGTGTCATACTTACTATGATATTCAGACATGGCACAAAATTGTAGGTGACTACCAAACAAAGCAACTGTGGCCATATGCTGTAATGACTGTTGCAGTAATGTGCAGCAGGTGTTATAACAGATACTAATTGTGTATTGTTGAATTCAGCTGTGTGAATCCATCTATTAGAGATCAAGAGAAAATATTATTATTATTATTATTAACTATATTATGTGAGTTGAAATAAAGCTCGTATTCCCTTGTATTAATAATATTAATTATTAACTATTATAATATTAATATTGTAAGTGAGAGTGCAGTTAGAACAAGATAACCTGCAGAAGGGCTACTTCTTACTTTTATTTTGTTATTATTTTACAAGCAATTTTAATTGAGTGCGAGGTGTCTATAAATAAACTGTTCTTCTTATTATTTATTTTTACTTTTATACTTTAAGTACATTTACAAGTGTATACTTTTTCACTTTTACTTGTGTAAATAAGTTGAATAAGTACGTCAGTCTGTACTTGTACATATTGAAGAATCTCTGTATCTTTCCAAACTTTGCTGTACTTTAATCAGTAGGTGAGGCTTACAGGCCAGTTCTTTTTTAATAGGTATAATCAATCATGGCATAAGAACATGTATAGAGACTGTTTGTATATTTAACTGAGCAGTAGTTTAATAGTGGAATTGAGCTATTGTAGTTCCAGAAGTTTTGAAAACCTGTCTCAGTCACAGGACACAGGGGTGTCACGTGAAGTGAAACTTTCATTTTTGTGCAGTGGGAGTGTCTGACCTCTAATATAAAGAGCAGTGATTGATACCACAGAAGGGAAATAGTGAAAGGCATCACAGGAAGCTGTTGAATTTCTTCACTATCTAAAGGTAAAGGTTACAAAAAAGTTCACTTCTTCTACAGTGATTTATGCTTTTGTGTTAGTGTTACATTAAAGGTACAAAGTCTGACCTTGATACTCCAAAGAGACAAAATCTACAGAGTCATTTTGCTACTGTCTTCCAGATGTTGAAGATTACTCTGTGTTTGTCATTCGGTGTGTTTCTGTGGGGATTTGCTTCATGCTCTATTGCATGTCCTGATGTGAGTACTTCCCCAAACAACGCCACCTGCTGCAAGGCTAAAATCAGCTTTGGCTGCTGTCCTCATGCACATGAAAGTCAGAAACTTTCCACCAGTGCAGTAACTTGATTGTTGGTTGTTAAAAGTTCTGCTGGTCTTACTTACTTTGCAGGCCATGTGCTGTGCCGACCGGGTCCACTGCTGCCCTTCAGGATATCGGTGTAACCTGGTTACCATGAATTGTGAGAAATTAGACCAGCCGTGGCTGACCATACCCATGGTGAAGAAGGAAGCTGCAGAGAAACCAAACACCCCTGAACTACCTGGAACTCCAGTCCAGGAGCTTAAAGAGAGCCACGTCCCAGATCAAATAAAGAAATCAATGGTCTACTGTGACAGTTACACCTACTGTCCTGATGGCACTACTTGCTGCAGACACCCACAAGGAGGCTGGTTCTGTTGTCCCTACTCTCCTGTGAGTCAGGCTAAATATTCTTGTGCCATAAGACACATGATTTTAATAAAATTCCTTTTAGCTTCCACTAACATGAAACAAGTTTGCAGCTATGATAATTATTCTTTTGAGAGACTAAAAGTGTTTCTTGCAGGGCAAATGTTGTCTGGATGGCTACCACTGCTGTCCAATTGGATTTGACTGTGACCACACCTACACGCACTGTGTGAGGGAAAAACTCACATATCCTTTCCTCCGCAAGCCAGCACTACCTTCAGGACCTGCGTCCTTCATCCCATCTTCAGAGGAAGACGACAATTAGAAGAAGGTAGGCAATGCCACACTCTAACCACTTTTATAACCTTTACATGTGGAGAACATCCTGGGATAATTTCACTCACTGTTCAGATCAATTTTAAAGGCTACATTTTAGACCTTTCTTTGTTTACTGGTGTTATCAAATGATGGCGTGCACATCTGATCACCAACCAGGATTTAACAACAGCTAAATATACTGATAGTTGTGGGTTTGATCATTTATGTTGACAGACTACTGTGACATGATGAACCTGCTCTAACCAGCTGTTTCTTGTGCTGATGAGGTCATAGAGTATTATTACCAAATTTGGATCTTTCAGCTCTGTGTAGTATTTCTGCATAGTTTTGCAGCCTTGAAAGAGTCCTATAAATCCAAAGTATGCTGGCTTCCCAAAACAAACAGCAGACAAGCTAATTCAGCTACTAGCCTGCAAGCATAGTGAAGCATGTAGCAGCCCAAGGACCAGAAATCACAGCTTGTTTCTGCGGCCCCTTAGTGGCCAAATGAAGAGTGGCTAGATAGAAAGGCTTAGGGAGAAACTTAGTGAGATGACTATAATATGTTGTTCTAACACAAAGACTTTCACTAATTTCAGGCCCACTGGAGAAAGAGTCACCAGTCATCTCCACAGACCAGCTAAGCAAACTTTTCACTGAGGTCATCATGTGTTGAAAATGCCTAATCCCTATTGTAGAAATAGGGAAATCATTAACGATTTCAAGCTAATCTCAAATCATCTTATCGATTGTTTTTTAAATAATGAAAATGTGTTTTTCATCTATTCCAGTCTCCTATACTGCCTATGTGACTGAGTGTCAGTGAATATAGACAAGTATGATGTTACAATGGTGAGGTGAAAATGTATTGATTTGTTTTATGATTTTTTTCCATTCCTTTGTATACTTTTGTCTAGCTTCACCAATAAAAAAAATCATAGCATCTTCTTCCCAGCTGTGTCATGCAGTCATTTATTTATCATCTTTTCACTTCATAGTTTGAGTGCCCATGAACACCTCAGCCTGCCCATGAACACCTCAGCCTGCCCAATACCAGTCCAGCATAATGCATTACTTGAGGAATAAAGTTGAACAAACCACATATTGATTTTCAAACTCTGTATATCAATGTATGTTTGCACGTTCCAGTATTAAAATAAGAATTGCTGTACCTACTTCCTATTTTCCTATGAAAATATGAAGAAATATACACAAGCAGACACAAATTATGTTACCATGCATAATGGTGGATTGGAATGGCAATTGAGAACCGGTTCTTGTTCCCAGTAGTCCAACTCCTTGGAATTTTCAGTTTCTTTGCCTATTGATCCAGGTTATTGGTTCCACTTGCACACAGTGGATTTTAGTTTGTGTGCTGGAGGAGGAAAATGGTGACGCAGTCTACACGGTGGATATGGACATTACTTTTATTTTCATTGCACAAAAGGAGGACTATTGTGAAGTGGAAACTACATCCAGGCCAGAAACAACTACATTATGCTCCTAACACAACTTCGTCTCTTTGTAAGCACCTGCACAGATACCATGTTAATGTTAAGCTACCCAAGAACCCAGAGAGATGTTAAAGCTGACAATATGTGTAATACATTATGTTTTTTGAGTAATGGCTCCAACACTGATTACAACAAAGAGGGGAAATCTACACATATATAAACATGCACAAACAAAGCATACAATTAATTTGCAAAAATTAAATGTTATTGATATATTGTTTAGTGATGGTGGTGACTCAACGAGAAGCCATTGAGAATTAATAAGAGAATAAAAAAAGAATTAAATCAATAAGTGATATCTAAATGGAATCAGAGTCGCTAAATTCTTAATTTAAATTCCCATCTGATCAGAACACCACAATTGTTCCAGTTTTTATTGGAAATTATGCAGTTTAATGTCTCACTGCACTCTGAAATGAAAGCACAGTAAATCAGTAAATCAATTTATAGAGGAAAATGTATTCTAAACTTTTGTGTCATCAATGTAGCCACAGTTGGCAGATATAACAGCTGAAAACACCCGAGACATTCTTTCTACAATAGAGATCAAATGTTCTTCAGAAAGTTCTTCGCATATCTGTTGCAGAAGTTCCCATAAATGTGTGGAACTTGTAGGTTACTTTGTTTTCACTTTTGTCTGTTCGTCCCAAACCAGCTCAATAGGGTTTAAGTCTGGAGACTGTGCTGAACACTCCATGTTTTCAAGCTTACCATCTTTAGTAGTAGTTCTGGTAGTAGTTCAGGTAGTTCTGGCCTGGCTTGCACTTAGGTTTTGTGTCATTATCTTTCTGTAGGATGAACCCCTGACCAACTAGACGCATACCAGAGGATATTCCATTACGCTGCAGAATGCTGTTGTAGCAGTTTTGGTTCAGGGTTTCTCTCACTCTGTACCACCCAAAAACCCAGACCATTACACTTCCTCCCCCATATTTGATAGTTGATGCCACACACTGTGGAACCATCCTTTCACCTACTCAACAGCACACAAAGATCCTGCGTGATGAACCAAAGATTTCAAATTTTTGTTCATCAGTCCATAATAGCTTCTTCCAGTCTTCAGTAGTCCATTGCAGTTCAAAGTCTTCACAGTTGAAACTGAGACTTGCTTACTACGACCACTATTAAGCTGTGCTTGAAGCAACCTATCACACAAGCTGTTAACTCTCAGTAAGTTTTCCTCTGATTCAGTTGTGGCTTTGGGTCTGCTAGACCTCTTCCTGTCAGAGATTGTCCCAGTTTCTGAGTGCTTTTTGATGGTGAAGGAAACTGTACGCACTGACACCTTGCCTTTATTAGCAATTTCTCTGTAGGAAAGACCTACATTCTCAAGTGTTATGTTGTTGTTATGTGGTCTGTCTCTCGTCCATTGTTAATTGCCTTTTTCTCTGCATCAGCTTTGGGTAACCTTACCTTTGTTTTAACCTCTGGCAATTCACCACTTACCTTTGTACCATTACAAGCTATTCATTGGAATTGAAGTGCAATAAATAACTGGCAAAATTGTGTTGTTCTAAAACTTTTGACCGGTAGTGTGTGTTGCAGTAAAAGCTTTTTAGTAAGTCTTACAACTGCTATAATCCGAGAGAGAGAGAGACAGGAAAATATTCTGCAGACAAAAACTTCATCATGACAGAAAACAAAACAACAATAACAATCCTTGTTGGTCTTGCAAGCTTAAAATGCTTCTTGCAGATCTGTTGCCGTTAGCTTCTCCCATGTTATGTTCACTCTTCTGGAAACTCTCTGCTGACACCTAATGTGGAAAATGCAGAACAACATCAGTGCTAATGGAATAAATCTGCCCCTGCTCACCCATTCAGAGCATACATATTTGAGTAGGTGTGGAGTTGATATCTGAACCAAATATTACATCAGTGCCTCACAAAGTTGAAAAAAGCCATTCAGCGTATTTCAAGCTTCCATGTAAATGTTGGTGACTCTCTCTCTCTCTCTCTCTCTCTCTCCTTTTTTTCTTTTCTTTTTCCTTTAAAGAGGGGGAAAAAAAACAGGGATGTCTTGACTGTAAAGAGGAAGCTGTAGTGATGTAAAATGTTTTTGATGAGTTTTCTGTGCAGTCTAAAGAGACAGGTCTACATAGAGTTTCAATGTAACTGTTCTACAGTTTAGAAAGTGCTGATTTTGATGAGTTGGACCATTTAGAAGCACTTCTTAATTCTAAACTGTAGCTTGCTGCACATTTCTTGCAATAACACATCAGAGAAAAAAAACATTGCCATACTTAATGTGCAGACAAAATGTTTTTTCACACTTTATTCTTACTCTGATGTATTAAGTTCCTTTGCAAGGCATGTACTTCTAGCTAACATTTCCAGCTAATTCTGGATAAGAGACAGAGACTAATAGTTAGCTTTCTTTCCCATTTTGCAAACACCAGAGCCAGCTCTAACACAAGACAGCGCCGGCTCTCCTAAGGCTCAAGTCATTCACTGTGATTCTCTACATTACTGCCAGGGGGGGATGTCTTGCTTCAAGGTATCTACTGTCCCCACCCACTGGTAAGGATTATACATAAACTGTTTAACCCTGTAACACAAAGTGTGTAATATGAGTTTAAAAACACGAGTTTCTGAGTGTGATACTTTACCCTAACCTTAACCTTCCCATATTTCAGCCTGCTTAAGATAAACAAACTGTGAGCAGTTAATTACACAAAAAATCCAGATCTAGAAACAACTATTAATTAAAAAGATATGTGCACATTTTTATTTATTTATACATTAATATATATATATATATATATAAAATCAAATATATTAATATATATATTTGAACACTCAAGTTTCAAAATATTACTTTTTTTAACAAAAGAGCAAATGATTTTTTTTTTTTACAATCCTATAAAAGCAGCTGTTCCAACTCAAACACTTGCACTGATTTCAGGGCCAGTGTTGTGCAGATAGGCAGCACAACAGTATGGATACAACTGTGATCTTTCCTTCTTGAAACTCAGAAATTCTTACCCTTGAGATTTCTTGGGGCCACATAAACAATATTGAGACACGATGTTGAATGTTGAAACAGTTTTCTTTGTTTTTGGAGCTAATATTAGTTTAGTCAAGATTTGCTGAAGAATATTGCACATACTGCAACATCTGAGACAGAATCAGATCACAAGAAGACAGTCAGTGGATAAATGAATAGAAAAAAAATAAAAATGATGTAATGTGAGTTTTCATCTATTGGTGTGACTGGTTGCCAGATCAGACTGCTCAGGGCATAAAGAAGTCCAAGACTGTAAGATGAAAGATTTTTTGTTTTGTTTTATTCTTTCTTTACTCCTTTATGTGTCACCAATACAAATATAACTGAGGGCTGACCAGATCAAGTAATAAATAAAACTCATGCTGAATTTGATCAAGTATACAAGTCAGGCGCCACAGCCGGGTTTCTGCGGGCAGCAGCACATTTAGAATTATTAAGAAATGAAGAAGCTGTTGGAGCAACACACTTAGATAAGGAAGGAGGAGGTAAAGTTACGGTAAAAAGAAAATACGGAAGTGAATCAAAGACAGGTCCCATTTTACAGTCAACACTTAAAATAATGTAAAACGGCTTTAATGAAATGCAACAGCTCATAACACAGAGAGAAGCCCCATGAAAGGAGAACTGACAGAAGCACCAGTTATCATGTTTTTTGCTGTCATCACGGACGAGGGTTATTATAGTCCACCAGAAATGAACTAAATGCTTAAACTAGCGGTGAAAAAACATTTTAGTCAAAACTACAATAAATAAATGTCAAATAGAGAGAAAATGTCTGTCAGTCTGCCCCAGGGCAGCTGTGGCTACAACTGTAGCTGCCTCCACCAGTGTGTGAATGTGAGAGTGAATAAATAGTAGCATTGTAAAGCGCTTTGAGTGCGTTGAAAAGCGCTATATAAATCCAATCCATTATTATTATTATTATTATTATTATAGGCTTCACCAGTATGACCAAATTTATGAACACATTAAGCAATTGACCCATTGGTCCATTTATTTATTGAAAACCACATCTCTACATGTCAGGACATGGATATGAAATCAAATCCAGAGATACAACAGATTTCAGTGGAAATATAGTAAAGGGGGGAGGCTGGCACAGTGGTTAGCACTGTTTCTGCACAGCAAGGTCCTGAGTTCAATTCCACCATCAGGCTGGGGTCTTTCTGTGTGGAGTTTGCATGTTCTCCCCATGTTTGTGTGGGTTCCTTCCGGGTACTCTGGCTTCCTCCCACCATCCAAAGACATGCAGCTTGTGGGGATAGGTTAATTGATTAATCCAAATTGCCCATAGGTGAGAATGCGTGAGTGAATGTGAGCGCAAATGGTTGTCTGTGTCTCTATCTGTTAGCCCTGCGACAGACTGGGGACCTGTCCAGGCTGTACCCCGCCTCTCACCCTATGACAGCTGGGATAGGCTCCAGCACCCCCGCGACCCTGAAAAGGATAAGCAGAAGTGAATGGATGGACGGACGGAGGGATGGATGGATGGATGGATATAGTAAAGGGGAGTTAAGCCTGCTTCCAGAGATGATAACCAACTACATATGGTAGTAATTTAAAGGAAAGATGTAAATATGACAGAAAGCTGTTTGAGATGAAAGGACAGATCACTTTAATTTTGACATGTTCCAATTGATATTCGTAGATAAGCACTACTTGATGTGACTGCTGGTTGCTGTTGCAGCTGATTATAGAAAATCCTTTATTGTGAAATGGTTTTCAGAGACATGCTCTTTCCTGAAACCAAGAACAAAAAGAGAAGCAGTGAGAAAAAGAAGAAATTCACTGTGATATATTCGTTATAACTTCCCATTTCAAGTTACAGCCCACAAAGTGGTTTTCTTGGATAAAGCGATCTTGTATATTAATTGAAAGTCAAATCAATTGCTAAAATCAGCAACTACCAGTACATATCTTTCTGTCCTTTTTATACATTATTAATCACCAAGATGCAGTTCTGAACACAGGACTGAAGTCCACAATTTAGCGATCTTGTTTGATTCAGTAAAAGGACTAGATGTTACAATCCCTGATAATGTATTGCTTTAAATGCAGAAAATCTTACACATCATTGTGTGCCTCAACTTTCGGTCTTTTACCCAAGCTAATCTGCCATTTTTTCTTCCTTGGTTAGGTTTAGGGATTAGAGATCTGATCTAGATTATCATATTAAGATTTGGGACACATCGTCAGTAGTGCTACTTGGATTCATCGGGTGTTTCGGTCAGTATCACTAGACACCCTCATCCAAGGAGACCCTGCCAGGGTTGATCAGGTGTGCCACTGGTTTATGTTAAATTGTTATTTCTTTTCTTTCTTCTGTTTAGTTTTCTACATCTTATTTTCTTCTGTCTATTCACTGCAAGTGAGAAATAATACTTACCTTTTTAAGATGTATGGAGCGTCACTTCTTCAAAGGGATAGAAAAGGTGATAGAGAGAAGTAAGACAAAAGGGATAAGACAGGAGTGAGCAGAGAGGAGAGCCGGAAGGGGGACGCCCGATCTGGCTTCCCACACCTCCCCGCCTTTCTGACAAATGCTGAGGACTGTATAATAAATGTGGTCAAATTTACAGTAAAGCACAAAATTGAACCCGCACAGAGAAGCTGCGGTGTTTTGGTTTAAAAAAAAAGAAAGAAAAAAAAAGACATCAATTTACATTTAAGCTGATGATGCTTAGATTCACTCACTGAATTCTATCTTTATAAATCAGCCATGTCAGCTTGTGTAACATTAGCTAATGTCTTGTTGAATTCAGTTGTGTGAATCCCCAAAAAGCAGCAGCACAGGCCAGCTGATTGCAGCCTGAACACAAAATCAACTCAAGCTCACAACAGAAATTATTCTGATTATTTCCTCACACTGCACCACTAGAACCAAGCTTAATGTCCCCTCACTTCACTTTAACCCCGGAGTATATCGATTTTTCTGTTTAATTGTGGATGCAAAGTCACCCATCTATGCTGTAGGCAACAACAAATATAGCTGTTGTTTTCCCTGCTTGTGTTCGCAAATGTTCAAGCTGAGTATATCATTACAATTACAATGCGAGTTGAAATAAAGCTTGTATTCCCGTGTTTTAATATTATTTTATTATTACATTGAAATGGTAAGTGAGAGCGCAGTTAGCACCAGAAAATTTGCAGAAAAGCTACTTTATGTTTTTATGTTTTACAAGCAATTTTAATTGTGTGTGAGGTGTCCTTGAGTGTTTAGAAAGTCTTTAAATAAAACGTGTCATTATTATTAGTAGTAGTTTTTTCCTTTATTCATTAAGTAAATTTCCAAGTATATACTTTTTTGCATTTCTTTCAGTAAATTAGTTCAAACAGTACTTCAATCTGTACTCCTACATATTGAAGAGCGTCTGTACGTTTGCCAGCTCTGTTGCACGTTGATGGATAGGTGAGGCTTACAGACCCACTCCTTCGTTATTGTGCATATACAATCATGTCATATGAGGACGTGTGGGGACTGTATATTAAGCTGAGTAATTACAGCAGTTAAGTAGTGGATTTGAACTTCTGCAATTCCAGAAATTTTCAAAACCTGTCTGTCTTAATGTGAGAGTCATGAGATAGAGGAGTGTTACGTGAAGTTAATCTTTCATTCTTACTCAGTGGGAGTGTCTGACCTGTACTATATAGAGCTGTGTGTGATACAGCAGAAGGGAAAGTGTGAAAGGCATCACAGGAAGCTGCTGAATTTCTTCAAGGTAACATTGGGCGTTAGTGTGTCGCATTAAAGTTACAAAGTCTGACCTTTGTAGTTCAGAAAGAAAAAATTTGCAAAGTCATGTTGATTTTGTCTTCCAGATGTTGAGGATCACTTTGTGTTTGTCATTCGGTGTGTTTCTGTGGGGATTTGCTTCATGCTCTATAATGTGTCATGATGGGAGTACTTGTCCAGACACCGCCACCTGCTGCAAGGCTAAAATTGGCTTTGCCTGCTGCCCATATCCAAATGTAAGTCAGAAACTTTCTGTCAGTGCAGTAACTTGATTGTTGGTTGTTAAAAAGCTCTGCTCGTCTTACTTACTTTGCAGGCCATGTGCTGTGCCGACCGGGTCCACTGCTGCCCGTCAGGATATCGCTGTAACATGGTTACCATGAAATGTCAGAAATTAGACCAGCCGTGGCTCACCATACCCATGGTGAAGAAGGAAGCTGCAGAGAAACCAGCCCCCCCTGAACTACCTGGAACTCCACTCCAGGAGCTTAAAGAGAGCCACGTCCCAGATCAAATAAAGACTTCGGTGGTCTACTGTGACAGTTACACCTACTGTCCTGATGGCACTACTTGCTGCAGACACCCACAGGGAGGCTGGACCTGTTGTCCCTACTCTCCTGTGAGTCAGCCTAAATATTCTTGTGTAATAAAATTCCCTTTATCTTCCACTGAGATGAAGCAAGTTTGCAGCTATGATAATTATTCTTTTGAGAGACTAAAAGTGTTTCTTGCAGGGCAAATGTTGTCTGGATGGCTACCACTGCTGTCCAATTGGATTTGACTGTGACCACACCTACACGCACTGTGTGAGGGAAAAACTCACATATCCTTTCCTCCGCAAGCCAGCACTACCTTCAGGACCTGCGTCCTTCATCCCATCTTCAGAGGAAGACGACAATTAGAAGAAGGTAGGCAATGCCACACTCTAACCACTTTTATAACCTTTACATGTGGAGAACATCCTGGGATAATTTCACTCACTGTTCAGATCAATTTTAAAGGCTACATTTTAGACCTTTCTTTGTTTACTGGTGTTATCAAATGATGGCGTGCACATCTGATCACCAACCAGGATTTAACAACAGCTAAATATACTGATAGTTGTGGGTTTGATCATTTATGTTGACAGACTACTGTGACATGATGAACCTGCTCTAACCAGCTGTTTCTTGTGCTGATGAGGTCATAGAGTATTATTACCAAATTTGGATCTTTCAGCTCTGTGTAGTATTTCTGCATAGTTTTGCAGCCTTGAAAGAGTCCTATAAATCCAAAGTATGCTGGCTTCCCAAAACAAACAGCAGACAAGCTAATTCAGCTACTAGCCTGCAAGCATAGTGAAGCATGTAGCAGCCCAAGGACCAGAAATCACAGCTTGTTTCTGCGGCCCCTTAGTGGCCAAATGAAGAGTGGCTAGATAGAAAGGCTTAGGGAGAAACTTAGTGAGATGACTATAATATGTTGTTCTAACACAAAGACTTTCACTAATTTCAGGCCCACTGGAGAAAGAGTCACCAGTCATCTCCACAGACCAGCTAAGCAAACTTTTCACTGAGGTCATCATGTGTTGAAAATGCCTAATTCCTATTGTAGAAATAGGGAAATCATTAACGATTTCAAGCTAATCTCAAATCATCTTATCGATTGTTTTTTAAATAATGAAAATGTGTTTTTCATCTATTCCAGTCTCCTATACTGCCTATGTGACTGAGTGTCAGTGAATATAGACAAGTATGATGTTACAATGGTGAGGTGAAAATGTATTGATTTGTTTTATGATTTTTTTCCATTCCTTTGTATACTTTTGTCTAGCTTCACCAATAAAAAAAATCATAGCATCTTCTTCCCAGCTGTGTCATGCAGTCATTTATTTATCATCTTTTCACTTCATAGTTTGAGTGCCCATGAACACCTCAGCCTGCCCATGAACACCTCAGCCTGCCCAATACCAGTCCAGCATAATGCATTACTTGAGGAATAAAGTTGAACAAACCACATATTGATTTTCAAACTCTGTATATCAATGTATGTTTGCACGTTCCAGTATTAAAACAAGAATTGCTGTACCTACTTCCTATTTTCCTATGAAAATATGAAGAAATATACACAAACAGACACAAATTATGTTACCATGCATAATGGTGGATTGGAATGGCAATTGAGAACCGGTTCTTGTTCCCAGTAGTCCAACTCCTTGGAATTTTCATTTTGTTTGCCTATTGATCCAGGTTATTGGTTCCACTTGCACACAGTGTGAAAAAGCCTTTTGCATTTGATGTTTTGTTAAGCTCTATGTCTGGATTTTGTTCTTTTGCACCCTCTGGTGGTGAACTGTGTAGGGTACAGTTGGTTGCAGTTGCACTCTTTTGCTAAGGCACATGATGTCTGCATGCTGCAGCTTGCGGTTAGCTCCTCACATGGAGAAAGTAATGTTTAAAGTTAGAGAAAGAGAAGAAATAAATGAGAAAGAAGATGGAGAAAAAGATAATAAGGCCATAAAGGACTATTTAGCCCCTCTTGGATGCCAGCTCATGAGGTTTGTATATTTTAAATGTTTTATTTTCTGTGATTAAGGACTTTTGATTGATTGACACTAAGTACAAGAGTGCATTTTGATGTGATGTTTTTATTTTATTGTTTTTGTCTGTGAGCAGTTCTCACAGGTTGTCAAGACCAGAACAAACCCTGTTTTATAACTCTACATCATGCCTACGTCAATCCTTGAGGGTGCTACATACAGCTCTATATAGTACAGTTCAGACACATTTTAGTTTGTGTGCTGGAGGAGGAAAATGGTGACGCAGTCTACACGGTGGATATGGACATTACTTTTATTTTCATTGCACAAAAGGAGGACTATTGTGAAGTGGAAACTACATCCAGGCCAGAAACAACTACATTATGCT